GCCTTGGCCACTGCTTTGTTTATATGGTCTTCAAAGGATAATTTATTGTCAAAAATCACGCCTAGGTTCTTTTCAGTAAAGCTTTCTTTTATTTTATTGTTACAAACAAAATATTCAACCTTAAGATTACTTTTCCCTAAATACAACATATTACATTTCGTAGAGTTAAATGGAAGTTGCCACTCATTTAACCAGTGGTGTCGTCAGCAAACATTAAAATATTGGAATATGAAACTTACAGCAAGTCATTTATATAAATTGAAAATAAAACTGGCCCCAGAACATTACCCTGGGGCACCCCACTTGACACATTGGACCAATCAGAAAAAATGACCGTTAACCAATGTTAATGTATGTATTATGTAAAAAAAGTACTAATGCACGAAAGCAAATTTCCTGTAATACCCTATGCCTGGACTTGTTTTTAATAACCTAACATGCGGGACGGAATCAAAGGCTTTTTAAAAATCGAGATAGGCCACATCAGTGCTTTTTCCTTCATCCAATAATTTCGACTAATGCTCAATGACCTCTAACAATTAATTACCGTTGACCATCCAGCCCTAAAACTATGTTGTTTACAAGATATTAAATTATTAAAATCTAGGTGGATTATCAATTTATCCCGTATAATAGTTTCCAATAATTTACAACACACCGATGTTAAACTGACAGGTCGGTAATTATTTACGGCAGTTTTGCTCATTTTTAAAAAATAGGTACAACGTGCGCCTCCTTAGTCCGCAGGAACAACTTCTTCTTCAAGCACCTACTGAAAATTATACTAAGGGGTATCGAAACAACTGATTTAGTCTCTCTCAATAACTAAGGATGGATTTGATCATGAGCAGGACTCTTCGTAACTTTCGTCTTCTTTAAAAAATCCTCCACTATACCTAGTGTACTATCAAACTCCGAACAAACATTAACAATTCATTTCATATCAAATCTGGAATTTGCTCAAGATTCTCATTAGTAAATACAGTGGAAAAAAGGAGTTCAGCATTTCTGCCTTAATTCCACCATCCCTGAAGGACATATCATTTTCATCATTTAGTGTAGATAATCTCGGTTTGACTTTAGTTTTAGAAGACTCTGGCTTCTCTCTAATCTCATTCGCAATCATCCTTTCAAAATTTCAAATAGTCTCTCTTTTCGAAGCAGTAACTCGGTTTCTATTTTCTTTAAACTCCATCTTATTTTTATAACTAGGACAATGATTGTATTTTAACCATGCTTTCCGTTTTTGCTTAATCAAATTTTTAAGCTCTATTGTCATCCATAAAGGCTCTTTGTCTTTACCAGTCTTTCTCTTTCCTTTAGGAATATATCAACAATCCTCACCACCGAGAGACAAAAGTTTCTCTATTCAATCTATCTCCTCAGGAGATACGGTACTTTATTTATACTAATATAGTCACTAAATTGATATTTAGGAATTAAAGATACACTGTCCTGGGACTCAATATAACAATAAAAATTAAATATCAAAACCAAATGGTCACTCTTTCCTATAGGAGAGTCATAATACATATTGTCGACCATTCCTTCCTCATTTAAAATCACAAGGTCAAGTTGGCTTGGAGTTTGACCATCCCTAAAAATCTAGTAAACTGGCCTACATGCTGGAATAAAAAATTGTCATATAACCATGACATAAATTTGGACCCTTCATGATTTTCAAAATAAGATGAACACTGACTTTCCCAATCCAATCTTCCAAAATTGAAATCTCCAGCCATAAGTAAGTGCGAATGATTTAATTTAAGAATGGTATTTAGATTGTCTATAAAAATATCATTTTGATCCTGGCTGTTACTTGAGCACAAACTATAGGCCTAGGTAAAACATATATTCAAATAAATAGTATCACCCAAATCTAACTCATTAGAATCAATAACAGTTTGAGCAATCTTCTTAGGACAAAAAAAAAAGTCACACCCCTACCTTCAACATTTTTTGAAAAGAAGACCTGATAAACTGTAATTGTCAAATCGCTCTCCTCAAATTGGTTTTTGATACACGGATTCTTACTGAAAGTATCGGTTAACATAATAACATTCGGTTTCTCTGCCGCAACTAAAAACTCCAGCTTATTTTTTTTTTTAACTCAAGAGAGAATCCTTTTCTTTTTACGTATAAAAATTCTTATAATATTTAAAACAATTTATCAACTGTTTATTTATTAATATTAATTATTCTAAGGAATAAGGCAACAAGGATTGCACAGAATAGAAATTGGTATAAAGTTGCTGTGAGAGAAGCTACGCTCTGATAAGAGTACGCTATGACGACGACGAATTATTCTATTTTATGTTATTTCCGGAAGAGTATGATATTATAATGTGCTCTACTTAACAGTAGATAATATGAAAAGACTATAAAATGTCACAAGGTGTTAACGTATTGTTAAAATGCATGTCTTTACAATGAAATTATTCTATACTGTATTTCATACTTCTCTAAAAGATTCAACATAGCTTGGCTATTTCAGAAACTTTCAAATAATTATTATTTTTTTTCAATATTTCAAAAACAATAACAATCATAGTAATATGTAGGCCTTTACTTTTCTTTTAAGAAGTTTATACTGAAAACAAGGAACAGAACGACTCCTTTTTTGGGGGACAGTTGTTACTCCAATATTTTCCTTTCACAGAAGTAAAATTAAACATTAAAAGACTTTCCTTTAAGATAAAATTTTATTAGTGTGTTGTCTTAATATATAACACAGACCAGCATGTTTACAATCCAAATAAAAATGATCTCTTTAGAAAAACAAAATATAATAACTAGATCAACATCGAGCATCTCCGTTACAAAGCACTCGTCGCATGAATAGTGAGTATTCCTACGAAGTAAGCTCTTTAACAAAGATTTCCTGAAGTACTTACTTTACCCAAGAAACATCACTCAGTGGAACTTACTTCCACTCCTCACACCAAACATCTAAATCACTTTGAAGCACAGAAATAACATTAGCAGATTTGATTGTACTGTAAAAAGTAGGGTATTATTTGCATACATTTTATAATGGATGATGAGGCGATGAAGTCGATTATATATAGGCTTATACAATATTGGCCCACGAACTCTAAAGCACTCCTTATAGCACATGACACGCAGATGAAGAGGCCCCATAAACGTAACATAACATCTTGAGTACGAAAAGAAGGAAACCAATTATATTATAGCGTGGAGCAACATATACCAACACCATTTAGTTTTTTTTA